CACAACAGTATAGAAAGGATTCCAGGTAACCCAAAGGCTATGTTTTGTTGTAACTTATTTACTCAATTAATCCAAATTATTGGATAATAATGAAAATTAAGGGCTCTGGTTGGCTCGAAACTATTCGAGCCTACTAAAAAGTGAGCTAATTATTCATGCAGAATAACACTTATCCTGAATGCACATAACATTTAAAAATATTTACTACATATTTTATAGTAGGTACTTGTGTTATTAAATTCCATGAAATGTCCCAGGATCCGCGTAGACTACAGCTCGTTATCAGAGAACCTGAAGGAGTTGGAGGAACAAGACGAGATCAAGCGCAAGGCGGACAAGATGCAGAAAGCTATCAACTCGCTGCAGAACACTGTGGACAAGATACAGGCGCCCAACATGAGGGTAAGAGGAGAGAATTAGACAGTTAACTTTTGACAGCTACAGCTATTAAAACAACAGATGTCACGGTTTTAATGAGTTGGCAACCAGTATTTTACGCGGTGTAAGTCTACTGTAACCTCCTTAGACTATATACCACATTTTCAACTACAATACTTTAAATTATTTACATAATTTACAGGCTATGCAAAAACTCAATGAGGTTCGAGAGAAAGTCAACGCTACGAACGAGGCGTTCGTTGCAGCTAGGAAGAGGGCACACAAAGCTAAACTGGCGTTCGAAAAGGTACACATTAGGATCTGATATAAGATAGCGATAAATTATGACATAATAATATATGTAAATAGAGACTAAAACATAAAACAATTTCCTTGCAGGTAAAAAAGGAACGACACGACAAGTTCATGGAGTGCTTTGAACACGTCGCCAATGAAATTGACGCTATTTACAAGGTAAGCTGAGCAAATACATATAGATAACTTTTGCAGGGCAAATTTGAGATAGAGACTCACAAACCATAATAATTACTAGTGTACCTATAGTTTTGCGTCTTTTTAATTGCCTGTGGATTATTCTTTTTTTTGTTTTTCGTGAACTTGATACACGTGTTATAAATTACAGGCTTTAGCAATGAACCAGTCAGCGCAGGCGTTCCTAGGTCCGGAGAACCCCGAGGAGCCGTACTTAGACGGCATCAACTACAACTGCGTGGCGCCAGGCAAGCGGTTCCAGCCCATGTCCAACCTCTCCGGAGGAGAGAAGACTGTCGCTGCACTCGCATTACTGTTTGCTATACATAGGTGAGCTGTACTGTAGTACACGCAGAACATAATTACATCATATTATCATACACATATAATAGAGACGCCTGGTATTCTACATATGAACAGTGCGTTTGGCCAAACGCCACTAGCGCTTGTCTACCGAAAGAGTAGGAAACTTAATGTATGGGGATGACACTGACAAGTATCAAAATTTACGTCAATCCCATATAATTTACTATAGTAGTATAGTATTTCTACTCTACAATTAGACAAGTGCTAGATGGTATTTGGCTACAGCTACAGGCGCGGTCCATGTATACATTTTTAACACCTTTACTAGCTATGTTGTGAATACTATGTCAAAAGGAAACAAACCTATATGTAGCCTTACACTGGGTTGAATTCCAAACTCAGCGCTATTACGAAAATGTTCCAAACCAGAAATCTCATGTAATATTTAAGTGAGGGAGAGCCATGTTTTGACACGAATGGGCCGGACATGCTTTAGTCATGTGATCACTCACACGACGAAAGGCCCAATTACTCCCTCCACAATCTCCCCAATCCCCCGAATTCCTAAATAATCGTCAAATTCCAAATCCCTAAACACGCACTTATAACAACGCTGGTGTTTCGGGTGTCCTTGGGCGGCACCGATTGCTTACCATCAGGTGATCCGTGAAGAAAAATATCTTGTCATTTAAAGACGACTTTTTAATCTATATTCAACCTAATATACATTGTTCCAGCTACCAGCCGGCGCCATTCTTCTTGCTGGACGAGATAGACGCAGCTCTGGACAACACCAACATCGGCAAGGTAGCCTCCTACATCCGCTCCAAGAAGGGAAGCCTGCAGACCATTGTCATCTCACTCAAAGAGGAGTTCTACGGGTGCGCAGACGCCTTGGTCGGCATCTGCTCTGAGGTAAGACTCCACGAAATATCATCTTTCTGTCTCCTGCTGGTTGTAATATGCTTTTCCAGTGTTTTATAATCAATCATTGTAATAACATTGTATTGTTCTAGCCGGCGGACTGCCTGGTCAGTGACGTGATGACGCTCAGCTTGGAGGACTACGAAGACTAATAAATACATAGTTATTGAATTGAGATGAACTTAATACATTTAATAATACACATATTTTTATATTGATGTTTACTTCATTCCTTTATCGTCACATGTCGTCGCTATGACCTTCATAATAATATATTAAGTGTTAAGTTGACTTAGTAAATATGTGTTTTATTTGTTTCCCCGCATCCAAGGTGTGCACTTACACTTCTCAGACATGAGATAATATAATAAAATTACTTTTCGGGCCATGTTACATATCCATCTACTTTGATTGATGGGTTAAAGTAATAATGATAAATGATAAATGTCATTCAATTATTCAAAATATTCACTAGGTACCCACTTTTTAAACTTCCTACAATGTTGTAAACTCCTAGGTGCCTAAATCTCTCAAAAAGAGGCTGCTGAGCGGAATCGTGAGAACCCAGTGATCTCAGGGAAGACGGTGGCACAGTGGTCACGTACCATCGTGCATAGCGAGGCTTAAGGGAGATGCATATCTCCCTTGTAATGTGCCGTCACAGGCGTTTCACCGGGGGTTCCGGAGCAGGTCTATTATAGAGAACTCGGTGCCCCCATAAGTGATGATGGTGGCCACCGGGGTGGATTTAGTGAAGTAAGAATCCCACACTCCCTAGTTTTCTATCCCCAAGGTTTCCCCCCGTAATAAAAAAAGGTGCCTGACTCTGGGCTTCAGAAAAGTGAAATGGTTCGTTTAGATGTCAATATATACGCTTTTACAATAAGATTCCCAGCAATATTCAAAATTTGAACCCAAATAAATTTAAAAGGTAAACTGCACTGTATCTATCTTTTTATAAAACAAAACACTGCTTAGATGATGGTCAGGCTTGGGAATAAGCAATAACGTCTGCACAGGTCATGTTGACATGTACAACATATGGTTACATTGTTATTTATTGTTTGTTGTTTATTGTTATTTATTGTTACTATTCGACATTAATATTTAATGTCACATTAGTTTTTCATTTGACATTTCTTTTTTACCACTCTGATATTTATTTAATTTGCTTTTTAGTTTTTTTTTACAATTGTTAGTGCAAGGACCGTACAAGACTGTCTGGACATTTCACCCATGTTCTGTGTACAGTTTAAGTATTTAAGTATTTGTTCGACCCACTCTAATGTTCTTTAGGTTGGTATTGTTCGTCGGGTCAGTCAGCTTCACCGGTTAATTGAGCTGATTGTAAACCGACACATGCGTACTGGCGTCAATACGTAGTTTTTTTAAAACTTGTGTACATGTCTGTACAGTTAAACTATCCTACATATTTTAGAAGGTACCATAATGTTCTGCGTTTTCGCTTTTTCGTAACCACCTAAACTTGGTCGGGTTACCACGGTCATTCACTTCCCAATGACTTTCATCGTTATCTCATTAATTATCCAATGTACTGAGCTGAAATTCTACTGATATGCAACTGAACTAAACAACTAATTATTGACATAACATTCAGTTCATATATCCAATCCAGTGGCCAAAATAACACTGCGCGTATCAAGACCGTGCTCGTGAATACTTACAGGATACTAATGAAACTTCACATACATTTGAAGGCAGTTACAAGCTTTAAAATGACGTTTAAAGTAAGTATTTAGAGGTCTTATTGAGAGTACTGGGACCAATTGAAGTATTTTTCTATTCAATGAAATAACTTAAGCTATGTATTATTTTGGTTTTTTATTGCACAACTTTAAACTAATTCCTAAGAAGCCATGTACAAAATAGAATAAGAATCCGCTTAACCATTTTTAAGATCTAGCAAAACCAAAAACGTTACCCCAGCAAAAACTCGAATAACTTCGCAACCGATGAAAGAATAAATACATTTACTTCATCTAGACAACTAATTTCATAGCTAGTAATTATTTAAATATTCCCATTGGAACGAAACAGATATGGCTGGGGTAAAGTTACCCCAGCAGGAAATGTTTTTGTGAAATAATTAAAAAACTATAAGTGCAACAAATTTAAAAATGTGCGCAACAATTACAAATGCCTCACAACTAATTATCTACCTCTATAAGATTCAAATGACCATTTTCGACAACATCTGGCCTGGGTAACGCTCACGGTTCTTTCCTCAAAACGCAACTACAGAATGAAATTGAATGGTTCTCACTCACACAATATTTTATATACATATTTTTTTGACTTTAAATAGACGGACCTCTAAGATGGTTTCGGCATTTCGTCTCAGAGTAGAGTAGAGAGTAAGTTAGGAAATGTCAGCCCCATGGTTCGTCTGAAAAATTTACGTGTAAAAGTTGCCTTGTAGCCTATTTGTAGAAATACATTCACTTGTTTCACGTAAAACCTCAGAATAAATAAATGTATTTATATTATTAGTGGATTATATGCGAGATTGGAGCGGACACATAGACGAACACTACAAGTGCTTTTTCGAGAATAGGGTAACTTACCTAAGATTGACATTGTCCTGGTTCTGTCCTCTATAATCATGCAATGTTTCAAACTCTCTGTTGTAATGAATTCTTCATAACCCCCTTGAAAGACTTATTTGGTAGCATTTTTTGTAAAATTCTCAGTAGTAGCACGGAGCCTGGAATTGTGCCCGGTATATGGCAATAGGCTCAGCTCCTATTACATGGGACTCATAACACAAATAGTGAAAAGTGGGTTTTACATTGTACAGTGGTATAATGTGCACCTCTGCCTACCCCTTCGGGGATAAAAGGCGTGATGTTATGTTATGTTTTTGTAATAAAACAATAAAATCAATATGGAGCTCTTTTATTTACAATAAAATATTTTTATATTACAACTCTTAGCCTAAACTATCGCTAGATGTCATAACTTAGTATCGAGCGCCACACGGCACACATTATCACTTGTCGGTCGCACTCCTACCCGAGTGTCAACAGCCTGCCCGACAACCACTGCGCCCTATGAAGCAAACTGTCATACCATGTCGAATGAGAAAAGAAACAGTGCCTCGCATATCTCGTGATTTCTAATTCATTACGTACGATTAGACTAATGCCGATATATACCAGGCACCATCTGTTTAAGATCTAAACCCTTGGGTTTTATACTAGTGGAGCGAGTGCGCAACGAATACGCCCCGGCTGCGTAGTGAGGACGCGCGGATGCGTAGCATATGTCGTCATGCGCATAGCAGATATTGTTGTGACGTCCTTGTTCCGTCGCTAGGGCGTGTTAGCCACGTACTCAGTGCGCTACCGCTGCGTGTAACCACTCGTAAATCACTTGTATAATGAAACCTTTATTACGCATCGATGAACATAATAATAACCGATACATATTCCTATGTAACATTTGTCTTTTATAATGAACGCATCGTATCCTATCTGGCTGTTGACTTCTTAACCTCAATCCTACCAACCGGGCGTCCCCAACGATATATCTTAATAACTACCGTCTAGCTACACTTGTTCTACTTAGTCGCGATGAGGTGACACTTGAAACACTAGGTATTTAGTACAGGGCACGCAACTTTTTGGACGATATCTCTTTCATATTTGATGTGCTTCAAGACGGACGGGGCGGAGATATAGTCCAACCTGCTGGGTCCGAGTGAGGCGTGGAGTAGAGGTCGGTCGTGAGAGCGCGGGCCTAGTCGGGCGAGCGCGGCGGGTCGGTGCTGAAGTAGGGCGCGGCGTGCGGCTGCAGCAGCGTGCGACAGACGGAGCAGACGCGCGCCGGGGCGCCGCGCGGGCCCGCCGGCACCGAGTGGCACACGCACGACGCACAGAATATGCGCCCGCAGTGGCGGCAGTGCATCTGCACAACACGGACAACTTACATATCACCAACACAAACACCTATGTATTAAAAACAGTAAGCAAGGCTTCAAAACTCGAATTTGTACAATCCGTTTTAGACGTTTTTACAAAATAATGAAATTAAAAACTGATGGAAGATTCGAACTTGCCATGGTGACGTCAGTACAAACGACCCAAAATGCTAGAGTGACGTGTTACCTTCTTCTTATTATTGGGTAGATGTGTGTGGCAGGTAGGACAGTCGTGTACATCGTCCTCGTGCTGCCATCGCACCTCTGTGTCCGCCTCGCGGATCCGTTGTAGTTGTACCTATAACGACGTTTTTAAATAAATCAACTGTACGTTGAAAAATGAAACATTCAGTTGATTTTTCGTTATTAACTCATCAGATAGTAATAAAATTATCCAATGTACTGAGCTCAAATTTTACTGATATACAACTGAACTAAAAAACTAATAATTGGCATAACATTCAATTCATATATCCAATCCAGTGGCACAAATAACACCGCGCGCATCAAGACCGTGCTCATGAATACTTACAGGATATTAATGAAACTTCACATACATTTGAAAGCAGTTAAGGTAACGTTTATTAAAGTAAGTCTTTAGAGTTCTTATTGAGAGTGCTGGACCAATTGAAGTGTTTTTCTATTTAATGAAATAACCTTTAAGCTATGTATCATTTTGTATTTTTTTATTGCAGAACAAAGTTAAACTAATTCCTAAGAATCCATGTACAAAATATGATAAAAATCCACTTAACCATTTTTAAGATCTAGCAAAACCAAAAACGTTACCCCAGCAAAAACTCGAATAACTTCGCAACCGATGAAAGAACAAATACAAAATAAGGCACAACATTTACTTCATCTAGACAAGTAATCTTATAGCAAGCAATTATTTAAATATTCTCATTAGAAAGAAAAAGGTCTGGCTGGGGTAACGTTACCCCAGCTGAAAATGTTTTTATGAAATAATTAAAAAACTATAAGCGCAACAATTACAGAAGCCGCACAACTAATTATCTATAAGATTCAAATGACCATTTTCGACAACATCTGGCCTGGGTAACGCACACAAATATTTCTCATCTATAGATTTACTTATATCAATAAGATACAAGTGCCTATGACAAAAGCCTACAAGAAGCGGGGGCTCTCAGTACCTGTAACGTTTTTCATTATTTTACATAATCTAGTTATTTATATTTGGATGAAGGTTAGTAATAATTTTCTTGTCCTATACAAGGCGTATTGTGTATAATTTATGTGATTTGTATCGTGATACCTTGTTGATACACCATTTATTATGTTTGACCTTTTTTGAAGCGAGGGAAAATCATCCAAGGGCTTCTCCCGCCCAGGTGAGGCGAGAGTGAGTGTCAGACTCTTACTGACTAAAAACCACAGCGTTCTTACTACTGCACTTCGAACCGGAGCCCCGGCAACCCGTTAAGTCTTCCGCGGCTCCGTATCGGCATCAGCCCTGTTGATGTTTGACCTGAGGGCTTACACTTGAATCCAATTCCGATCCATCGACATTGGATCTTTATTATAGACGCTCTGAGCCGCTTGGAGAATCGACCCTTAACGCGTACTGAACGCTTTGAGGAAACTCAAGTCCTCACCCCTGTTCTCGTACACGATGACTTCATGATGTTCTGATGCCGTGACACATCCTATAAGGTCAGCCGTTTTCCCTTTCTCATAAGCCACCAAGGCAGCGCCCACGCTAATTATTCTAGAATGTGTACCCTCCGCTACCTCCCCGCCCCCCATACCTAGTAGAACGCTAGTTAAAACCAAGTCATTGACTAGTTTTATTACGTGTTCTCTGACCCAAAAGTTGTATTTCTGGCAGCGCGTCATACGTTTTGTACCGCATACTTGTCTTAGATATGTTTCCATTCACTAGGGAGGCTAGGCTCGGCGAAATGGAGAGTCATTTGCTATTCTTGTTTCCGCAGAAGGCTATCCCCAGCCTTTCTCTGCTGTTGTTCATGAACAGTACCTTGCAACCTTTTCCATTCCTTTGGAGCCTCGTTCTCCATGCAAAAGTATTTGCCTCTCTCCGATGCTGAGTGGTTCAGTGGTACGGGGGATCTTGGATACTGCTATGAAGTATTGGGTTGATTCTCGAATCTGGCTAGTCGATTTCTATTATTTAATGTGATGTTTCTTTCAGCCGCTCAATACTTACTTAATAATTATCAAAATGTTAGTATAGACGATGTTTTATAATGAAATCATTATTTATGAAAATAGTTTAAATTCATATAAAAAAATAAATGTTGTGCACCCTTACTTCTATGAACCTTTATTTTTGTAGTTGTAACACGTACCTGTAGCGACTGTGAGAGCCTGACAAAGTCCTGTTGCACCTTCTCACTGTTGTCAAGTTCCTGCTGCAGCACGGTGACGCGGCCGCGCAGGTCGTGCAGCTCGGCCTGCAGCCTGCGCTTGTCGTCCAGCAACTGCTCCGCCAGCTCGCTCGACTGGCGCAGCTTGTCGCCCAGCTCCTTCATCTGGGCTTGCTCTGTTTGTAGTCGGTCTACCTCGTCACTGCAACAACGTAATAAATAAATTTATTTTTCTCCAATACAGAAGAAATTCCAGAAGCGGGATTCTAACCTACACCTCTTTCCCAAATTTGTTTTTGTAGACTAATAGTAATTTTGCTTATAAAAACCGCAAATGAATACGTGTCATTACTTAATAGCCGGGTTCGTCGATCTACAAGCCGTCCACTTGAAACAAAAGTAACAGTGCAGTAGATACTCACAGTGCCTCCTTGAGCTGTGATCTCAGTGTGGCGAGCTCAGCCTCCTGTCTCCGGAACAGGTCTCCATGTTCCAGTAGCTGAGCCCGCAGGTCTCGCTCGGCGGCGGCCGCCTCCTCCCTGCCCAGCTGGCAGAATATCAACTGCTCGCGGAGACGCAGTGTGTGCATTTGTAACTCCTAAAACATACATTCATAACTTACTGAAAGTTTGCAGTTAAACAAGTATTCAAAACAATACAACATTATCATATTATCTTTTTACGAGGATTGCCTGATTGTTTTCGAGCTCGATCGGGACCCGAGTTACGAAAACTATCAAGTCGACTTAAATAGCCCGTATAAACATTGTCTAATATCTCGTACAATTACGATGGCGATTATCAGAAGATAAAGTAGTGACACTAAAGTATTCCTCACCTCTACATTGTCGGGTAAGTCTATGATTTCGTTCTGCATTTCAGCTGCTTTCTTCGTGTACTGACCAATCAGCATCGCGTTGTCTCTTTCTAAACTGTGGACAAAAAACAAATAAGTAAATGTAATATAACATCGATATAGATGCCGTATTTGTTTCTAGGTTTTTTTGGGTAAAAATAATCAGTTTCACCCACATCTGTAACACCAGAGGCTTCTGCATTAGTTGCCTTGGGTTTAAGTAAGAAACCTCTTGTCATAATGAATAAATCATTAAGCACAAACCTGTCAAGTTTCTTCTGCAGCGTCTCTCTGTCGACGGTGAGCTCGGTGACAAGCTGCAGAGCTCTCTGCTCGGCCTCCTCGGCGCGGCGCGCGTGTGTGTGCAGGTCGTCGGCGGCGGCGCGCACGGCGGCCTGCAGCGCGTCCAGCTCGGCCGCGCTGGCCGCCCGCTCCGACTGCCACGACCGAACTGTCTCGTCGTGTAGGGACCGGACGCCTTCCAGCTCGTCCGTCGCCTGGTGGGATTAAAGGTTATTACAGGGGTTTCATCTGGTAAATGGGGTAGATGCAACAGGTAGTTTTGAACAATTTTGTTATGATTACAGTCCAAAATTAGGGCCATAAAATTGTGGAAAAGCGTACAGCCATTTTATATTCCAATATTAATCATACTTTGTCGAAAAATAATCTATCACCTGAGAACTCTAACACAGACCAGTAAAAACATAAGTTGACAAAAAGTTTAAAGCTTTCTTTACTTAAACTTTCGTATGCTAGCAATAAGGATAGTTTTTCAATAATACCTGTTTGAGCGCGAGTTCCTTCATGTTGGCGCGGTCCCGCGCCTGCTCTGCCTTGGCCTGCTCCAGCACGAGCTGCTTCTCGTAGTTCACACACATGTCACATTGTCTACTCGATTCTACAAAAAAAAAAAAATCCTTATCCTTATACTATTATAAATGGGAAAGTGAGTTTGTTTGTTTGTTCCGCTTTCACGCCGTAACTTCTAAACCGATTGCTTTAAATTTTTGCAGGCGTAAAGCTAAAAGTCCGGAATAAATAATAGGGTACTTTTTATTCCGGATAATTTTAATATTCCCGAGGGAAAACAAAAGAATTGGTATAGATGGCGCTATGTGTATTGGTATCTACTTTTATCCTTTTGTGACGCGAGCGAAGCCGCGGGTAAAAGCTAGTAATTAAATATTTGGACGAATATTTACGTACAAAATCCACTAAAGTCTAGAATTAAAGGTAGTAAGTGGTTTATTGGTTGCGGTGACAAACTGCTTATTGGGAATGAGCATATTTACCTGCGTCTTTGTTGGCATCGCCACTGGGAGCTGCTGAGGCTGTTGCTTTCGCTTTCTGAAACCATGAAATCGTATTGGAATTCAATCTATATAGCAAACATTTTAAAGCTCATTAAAGAAAGATAAATAAATACAAAAGCAAAAGTATTATATATGTTTTTATAGGAAAAAACTATTGATTACAAATCCAAAGTAAAAAATATTAATATAATATTGTGCTCACCGCCATAGCATCCTGTAGCTGCGCGTCAGTGTCACGTAACTTAGTCTTCAGAGCTGAGATCTCCATCTCCAGCGGCTGGATGATGGACCGGAGGAGTTCCTCTTCCTATTTAAAAAATAACAATTATATAATATTCTATTTTTTATACAAAGTACACGTATGATGTGAAGCTGCGTCTGCGCATGTACGATGACTGACTATCTACTAGTTAATTGATACTTTGATAATTAATAAATAGTTTAGTTATCACTAAATTAGTCATATAGTTATTAATATACTGCTATACCTATGAAATACACATTTTGATAGATGTAGGTATGTATGTACCTATATATACATTTGAGTTCCAATCTTCAGTAGCTTGGAGTACCATGAAAAAAATACCTCATACCTCACCATACCGTACCTCACAGTACATAGATGAATGAGGATAAATATGTTTTAATAAAGGGCTTTATAGTTTTGTAATAGTCGAAATCCTATTGAGGAATCACTGATGGGAATTGTCATTTGCACTCTAACTACATAATATCATAACATCACGCCTTTTATCCCCGAAGGGGTAGGCAGAGGTGCACATTACGGCAATTAATGCAGTGGCAATATTGTTACCTTGTACAGTGGTACAAGGTAACACTCACTTTTCACTATTTATGTTATGAGTCCCATGTAATAGGGGGTGAGCCTACTGCCATATACCGGGCCCATTTCCAGACTCCGTGCTACTATTGAGATTTTTAAAAACCCAGTAATACTTTACCTGACGCGGGAATCGAACCCGAGACCGCTTGCCCGGCAGTCGCACTTCCGACCATTCGGCCAACGAGGTAGTTAGTGATACTTACTTTCCTAGGCTGTTGTTCCTCTGCGTCAGCGCCCAGCTTCCTGGCGAGCGAACGCACGAAGGTGGCCGGCGCCAGCGACACCTCCTGCCACACCGCGCGGGGATTTAGCAAGTGTTTCACATCCATTACTTACTACTAGGGACACTGAGGATGCATATACCACCAGTATATGCAGTCTTTATTTCCACGTATGCTTTTTGTACACACTATAATATTAATATAACAATACACGGTGTAAATGGAACGCTCCCGAAGAACGCCGATAGGTGACAGTAAAAACCAATTTATTTTGATAAAAATAAGGTATTAAATGTTTCTTTTCTGTAATAATAGTTGTAATCATGTGCTCAAGGTTGATGTTCAAAAGTCAAAAGTCAAAAGTCAAAAAGTCAAAATCATTTATTTCAATTAGACCAGTAAGGCACTTTTGAACGTCAAAAACAAAATATTTAAATACTAAATAATAAGAAAAGAAAAATGTGTCAGTCTGTAAGTCAGTCCTCTAGTGAAGCTATTTGCTCGTTCCAAAGTGTAGATTCCTATGGAGAAGAACGAGCAAGAAACTCCATAGGTTACTCTTTTTCTTAGTACTATCTCCCATCAATAATACTACTGGCTGGTTTGCTGTGATACATTGTTTTTGTATTTTTTGTATCATCGGGCCAAATTTTATATTATGAAAACAGTTATTAGTAACACTATAGTTGAGGCAATTTGAGATAAGTGACCCAATACCTGCTCCTATTGAGTCAGTGAACACACTAGCATTGTTGTTTACATTTGGTGGTATAGATATATTATGCTCCGGCTCCGGAGGCATGGTGTGGGTACAGCTACAAGCAAGGTTATTTGCTAGAGACTCGTATCTCTCAGCACTATAGGTAACTAGGTCTACTAGCTTACCCGCCTCAATCATGTGTTTATTAATTTCAGATTGAGCGGATTCATATTTTTGGAATATCTGATTTAAAAACATTTCTCTTTCCAAGAGCTCTTTTCGCAGAGCTCGAGTGTCCAATTCATAAATGGCCCTACTTTGTTCTAATTCACTAGAGCAAGAATTTAATTCACTAATTAAATTAACTTTTTCTTTTCTTAACTTTAAATTTAATTTTGAAAGATTTTGCCTCTTTTTAATTTTCTTAATTGTTTTATTTAACTTAATGTATTTTTTAATTTTGTTATGACTACTTAATAAGGGACATGCTGTGATGGTATCATCACCAGTCAAGTCTATTGTAACGGCTGGCTCACACACGTCACCAGATCCACTCCCAACCAACTCATCGTATAGACTCCGAGTGTTCACTAATTGAACAGATTGTTTCGCAGCCTCTAGTCTACGTATAGTACTGTGGGCCTCTCTCAGCTTATGCTCTAGTTGTGTTATTTGTGCTAGAGCATGTTCATGAGTGTCGCTACACTGCTGGAAGGTAGCAACTTGATTAATTAATTGACTATGTTGTTGTAGTAGATCTGTGTGACACATATGTAGTTCAGCTAATTCATTTTTAAGTTTACTGTTTTTGTTTATAATGTTTGTCACTTCCACTTCACTATCGTCCCGTTCCTGCAGTAGTAGCATGTTGCATGAGTAACCACGAATACCAAAACGATTAAGATTATAATAACGATTTCTTTTTGTTAGCGATTCGGGAGCGTTGCGTTAACACCCTGTATATAGGTTTCGTGTTGACATTCATTGTTGTGATATAGTAAAAAATATAACCATTGAAATTAACTTTAATGAATGAAAAGATCTTTAAAAAAATGTTGATCAAAAATACGTTCTAGATTCCATCAGTATTGAATCTACAATTATGATGCAGTAATGGAGTTCAAAAACAAACAGAAAACATTTTATGTGTAATCCAATAGTCACTAGCAAGCTACACTTAGGTCGTCACTAGCTACACTTAGGTCGTCACTAGCTACACTTAGGTCGTCCTCCTATGTTCACTCGTAACACAATATCAACCACCATAGTCCAAACACTAGTAATCCTACTTAATGTACTTGGTAGTCATTGGGCGATACTTATGCAAATCGTGGCGATAACTTAACAGACGTGTAGGTAAGTGCACGATATTGTAAGCGATACTTGGAATGAGCTACACTAAGTTATGCGGACTGGTTCGTGTGTAGCTTCTAATGCTCTTCCTAAACATGTTTATTCAATTTCAAGTTTATACAAGATGTGTTTTGTTGTTATGTAAAAATAAGTGTTTATTTTGCATTCTTATTGATTTCGGTTTTATTTTCGTGTTACTATTTAGATAGTATCAGTAAGAAGTAGTAGTTTAGATAGTAAATATTATTCTGATAATGTGACGTAAAGATTCGTTGATAATGTTTTTATTTACATGTAATGAAGATTAAGCTAAAAGATACTAATCATAGTAAGTGCAAAATTCTAAAATGCGGGGCAATGCTTTTATTAAGTACAAGGTCTAACGATTCGAATCGGTATTAATACTTGAAAGACGTCGTGCTTAATGTAAATTAATTCGACATTTTTACATTCATTATCTAAGCTGTTTTGCCTACACTAAATGTGTTTCATATGAACACACTCTGTATACAACAGGTACTGGCAGTTAGTCCGCCTGAAGATACATAAGTAAACATAGTCTACCATCAAACGATAAAGAACAACATAATGTAGAAGTTGAGGATAACAAATAGAACGCGCTAATTTTGGAAAGAGCTGTTGGCATAATGGTTAAACTATTGTCTACTAACATGTGTTATTTATTGGTTTCGACATATTTATAGTTTCAGTGGCAGTTTTTGTAATTTAGACCAACAAAACAGTTGCACCAATATTGTGTAATAACGTTTTTAATAAATACTTTCTCTTATTCCTTCCAGATAATACGCGTAAGTGCAAGAAGTATTCAAATTCAATAGACACCGACTTTAGTACATCGTTGAACCTGTATATTTATTTAAGTGGTACAAAATATTTATGTAAATTCAGATAGTGTGTGAGAACGAGACAAGGTCGGTAAATACGTTTACGGATTACGATAGTAATTTGCTTTTGTTTGAGTATATTTTTTTAACTTGTATAAAAAATGTTTTATTATGGCATAAGCCGGTAAACGAGCAGACTGTTCACCTGATGGTAAGCAATCGGCGTCGCCCATGGACACCTGGGACACCAGAGGCGTTACAAGTGCGTTACCGGCATTTTGGGGATTAGGAGTTGGGCCTCCGGTAACCTCACTCACACGACGAAACACAACGCAAGCGTTGCTTCACGTCGGTTTTCTGTGAGGCTGTGGTATCAATCCGGTCGAGCCGGCCCATTCGTGCCGAAGCATGGCTCTTCCACACTTTTTGTTGATTACACACATAAAAACTGTGTTCTACGTCAACTGCATAAGATTTAAAATGCTGTTTTCACTAACCTGTTGTTGTTGTCTCATTTGATTCAGATGTTGTTCCAGCTCGAGGTTCCTGACTCGCAATCTTCTAACTTCTTCTGTGCCTGAAGACGAGGCCTCCACGGTCTCTGTAGATTGAATTTAACGTAGCTACTGAATATTCTGACGATGGAGCACGAATACCTATTTAACAACTTAATTCACTCATGAGTAATAGGCATACGGGGAGACCAAGCAAATAAGTCGCCTGATGACAAGTGTTTAAAGCCGTTCATTGACAGACCCGCAATACCCGAGGAGTTACAGATGTGTTGCCGCCTGTTACGCTTTCTTTAGTTTTAGCTTTTCTTCAAACTACTACGCCCTTTAACCAGCTTTATAATAGGTACCTCTGGAGCCCCAAGATAGACAGAATGATTGTAACATGGTACAACCTCACGTTCACACATTGCATAGTATATGAGGAAAATGGATTGGCCATTTCGAACACTACATACACATTATGATGTAAAAAAATATGTATGAAAGTTTGTTCAGGACCAGGACATAATTTGTTATCTTACTTTAGATTTTCAATGTGATAAGGGGACAAATGAAAAGATGGATCACTTAATGATAACGACCAGGTGCGCCGTCAATGCATGCAATTGGAGTTGCAAGAGTATTGCCTTTTGGGCGATAGGAGGGACTGGATAATAATATTTACTGAGACTTTTCATATCAAGACATCATCGGTTTACAAATGCCAACACACCCATTTTCAAATGACGTCTGCTTGTATTATTTTGGCTTACTTTATGGTTTAATTAGTTGCTTGATAACAATGATAATATTACAACCATGCTCGATTTTTTATACAAGCATATCTAGAGGATTTTAATAGTATTAAAGTCATTAATTATGGAGAAATTGATAAGGAAACAGTTCTGCATGAATAGCCAACAAATTTAATAATTAATGAGTAACACAATTTTGTGAGAGTAACAAAACCATTGCAATCAATTCACAGTCGGAATTATATCCTGTTTGTTATTATAATAAATACTAGTTACTTCCGCGAGGTTTCAAACGCTTTGCTCAGCTCCTATTGGTCGTAGCGCGATGTTTTATAGCCTATAGCCATCCTCGATAAATGCGCTATCCAACAAATCCAAGAATTATTCAAATCAGACTTGTAGTTACGGAGATTAGCGCGTTCAAACAAACAAACTCTTCCGCTTTATATAATAGTAAGTATAAGATATGTCAAACCAGAATGTATGTATTGGTAAAGCATAGTTGCGCGCGAAAATTAAGGTAAGTGTGCTAATTATTATTACATTACTAATTTACAGATTCATACAGTAACTTACTGGTATAACGTAAAGTGTGTCGGCTTAAAATTTGATCATTGAAATCATTAGTCAATTTTTAACTAAACAATATAATTCTCAAGTCTAATTGGATATTTTCTGGAGTAAAAAAGAATTACTTTGTTTTTCAATCCAATTCAATAGTAAAAAATTCAATACAATTTCATTCACATATTTGACAATATTCTTAAATTTCGATTTATTCTGGCAATTTTCGAAAATATGATGACGTCATAAGTTTTTGGTACAAAACTCATAGAACAATATCGTTTTTAATGATTCGATAAAAGTATTGAATTTTATTAGTTGTAAAATACCTATTAGAATATATTCCTATGAGACATCAGACTCAGATTCCAGAAATAGATAGACTGATACAACCAATCACCACTTACCACTAACAAGCATTTGCAAGCTCTGTATCTCTGACTTCTGGTTTTCACTGAGTGTCTGCAGCTGCTGAAGCTCCGCCCGGAGCCCCAGCACCTCTGACTCCAGCTGCTCCTTGTCCTGCAGCATCTTCCTCATGTCCTCTGCAAAGAGTTATAGTTCATTTAAACAAAAAGTAATCATTATTCATGTCTATGTCAAATGTATGAAGAGGCAGAACATACAACCAACACCATCAATGTTTCTAAAATACATAATTAATTTGTCAATTATTCCAATAAGCAAAACATAATCAAATATCTATGTTTATAGCTTATTGCAATAAATTTCAACAATTTTTCACAAGATTATAATGATGATACTAATACCTACTTGTGTCTAACACAGACCTGGTAATCAATAACTGCTAATTTAGAATACTGCTTTAATTTATTCTACTGCTAATGATTTCACAAAATTATTCCAACTTAGTGTACCATTGTTTACATATAAGTGGTAATAAGTGACATTGGAAAATGTGCTAATTTGTTCACACAATAACAAAGGTACATTCACAAAGAAGAATGGTATGCACATTATAGGACAATGTGTTAACATCAGTTCACCTCTAATAGGTAAATTATACAGATTAATTTCATTGAAATAACCATGTTTATCCTGGCCTGTTATAAATAAATTGAACCAGATTTGGTGGGGTACTTTAGGAAAGTTATCTACCCAAAAATAAGTAGTGACATAATTTTATTTGCATGTTGCATCATCATAGTAATTTGTAAACCATTTAGTATACAATACATGTTGTGATTGTATAATAGATTGATGCACTTGTGTTTAAGTTTATTGTAAATGTAACCCTTTATTGTATCAGTGTGATCAATTGTTGGTGGACCAAATTAATAAAACAAAATCATTGTAACAGTTAAATACTGAAAATATGCTATTTACAGTTGGAAAGTGGAAACAAATTACTTGCTTCTCTTTCAATATTGATCCATAATTGACAAATGATAATTTTAATATGAAATGGTTATCAGTAATTAACAATTTTCACACCTCAAAATTTAATGTGTATTATAAATAAATATTATAATAAAAAATATTCCAAATCACCATCACCTAGACCTCACAAACACAGTAAGCAACCAACAATGAGATTTTCACAAAACCAATTATGGAAAAATTCCTTTATACTTACCATAAACCAACAATCACTTACAAGTGGATGTTTTTACAAATTTAGAGGTGAAAACACAATAACAATATACATTTTGTGCTGCATACAAATGTTATGTCAAGTGTTACCCCGCCTTAGAGACAGACAGTCAGGTACATAGTGCAGCATTCAGCTGAGCAGTGACTTGTAATCACTATACAAATGAACCAATAAGAGTTATTTCATAAATGGAAACATGCAGAATGAATGCATATCAAACAAAATAATGCTGTTAGTGTATTGTGTTGACATGACCTGCCGCCTGGTGGAAGGAGCAAACAACTTGTTTAGCAACAGGAACTACTTCACGAAGACAAGGTTAATGCAACATACCAAGATGAAAACCACAACTCAACCAACCAACTACCAGACAAATGCCATAACAAAACGGAAGTATCCACAAACCAAAATATACTTTGTATGCATTGACATCTAGCCATTTAAAAAACAATGTTATCATGTGAATAATTGAAATTTCATGCAATGTACCAAACCAGAACCAAGTGTACACTACGCCCGCGCGGCCTATGCTGCTGATAACGGACAACGAACCTTCTTTTTGTAAGAACAACTCTTTCATTTTCGCTCGTTGCACATTAAATTCTTCTTCAAGTAATCGTCGCGTTTGGTCTGGGGACGGGCCGTTGCACTCTGCCGCGTCCTCCACTTGAAACAGAAACACCATTCAGTGCCTCTACGGAAACATTATCGCCTAAATTAACAAACAAATTAACAAAATAACACACCTTTTGCACTTTCAGCTATGTCGTTCGACATCTTGGACCGACTGTTCATTAATTTTAATTATTACTAATATGATACTAGTCTCCGAATTTTTAGCATTATTACACCAATTTAGAACTACAAAACTTTAGAAATTATGATTATTGCAGAGAAAAAAGAGATGAAATCATGAAAACTATTTGACGTTTCTCAGTTGACGTTTGACGTTGTTGTGTTGACAGTTAAAAAAAATAAACGGTGCGTTCTATTTTCATTATATTTTATTTTTGTTTACAGTAGCGTTCACTTAACTTGACACTAATTCTCGTTTGATGGTCCACCACTTGTTCCAGTTGATTTCTTTTATTTATTTTTAGCCATTTCTGTCATCCCACTGTAGGGCAGAGGGCTCCCTGTCTCCTTTCACTCGTCTCTTCTTAAAGCTTTCTGTGACCAATCCTTTTCATAGGCATCAACTTCATCCCGCCATCTCCTTCTGGGCCTACTGCGACGTCTATTGACGTTGAGCGGTCTGACATTCGGCAGACATGACCAGCCCAGTTCCACTTCAAGTTTGCGGCTTTACGACCAACGTTAGCGATTTGAGTTTTGGAGCGCAGTATGGAGTTTCTTATTATGTCCGATAATCGGACTCTTAAGATACTGCGCTCCATTGCCCGCTGGCAAACCCTGTTCCAATAAACTATCAAAATAAATCCAAAATCATTTATCATTTATAATATGGTTGAATATCAATATAAAAAAAATAGGAATAATTCATATTCTGAATATTAACAAGGTATTGAGGTTGTATACTTAGTACATAATAGATTACCTAGAGGTATATATTTTTCTCTTTAAGTAGTTTTACGTTTTATTTTATAGTTTGCCACCTTGGACCTCAGTACTTGCTTATAAAAGAGAGCCAATTCATCCATAATTCATCTAAACTCCTCGCTCGAGTATGCCAGAGTCGATAATTTTTGAAACCAAAAAAAAAATTACAATTGGATGAAACCCATTAGTAAGCTTCTAAGGGTTAAAATGAACATATTATTGAAAAGATCTAAATTTTTCGACGTTTTTGCATTTACAGCATCAATGTGTATTTTTTTCCACCTAACAGAACTAACCAGAGATTTCTTTGAACAAGAAGCGCTCTATGATTTCATTATTCAAGCAGATTTTTGGTGTCATTTCTTTCTTTCAACCGTAAGCTATGATACTTTTATGGACTCGCTCTTTACGTTGTTTGTTGCATTTTCTGTAAAGATTTGTTATATGGTGTACCTACCTATATTTTATTTAATACCATCAAAAAGAAGAGATTTTGAGTTACAAGAAACGTACCGATTTTGCCTTTAAATTTTACGGCTGAAAAAGAAGATGCTCTTTCAGACACGCCTTTTTAGGTTTTTCGCATTTTCTGTAAAGATGCAATAAAAACGTAACTAATTTATACACTGTCCAAAACTAGAAATTTTAACAAATACGAAGAGAACCAGTTGTTTCCTTAACTTTAAAATTTTGACACGAGATTTTTCAGTTGAAAATGAGACTACTTTTTCAATATTAGGAATTAAATGAAAGAGGGAAAAAATAATATTTTTAACAAAAAGAGAATTGTTTGCTGTAAGGAGTTATAGAGCCACCAAATTACTGAACTATAAATACCTACTGTTTATTTTCATAAAAATATCAATTTCTTATAAGTACCTATAATAGGTATACTTATAAAATAACACCTCACGGATGGGACAAATCCCGTCAAACTTATCAAAACTTCAAACTTGAAAAAATATATTACAATTGTATGTACCTTCCTACATCTATCTATAAGTACCTACATATAATAAAATCGTAGAAAAGTCAAAGCACATTGAAATTAAAAAAAAAATACCTGGAGCGTGATTTACAATAGATAACGAAGCCAAAAATTTGGTTTTTAGAATGTTTGTCTGTTTCTGTTCTGTTTGTCTGTTTGTATGTCCGGGACGATCTCAAAAAGTACTGCATTCTTCAAATTTCTAACTAGCTAACAAGTCGGGTCAGTATGTACTTATGTAGGCTACATACCTATTATCACGTTATCATCTACGGGTAAGGAGCCCTATACTAGATACTGAATCAATTTTGACGACATTCATTGACGTAGAATAATTCGTTTCCCTTCATAAAGACTAATCCAAAAGCCTAAATTCTACCAGAAGTCATTACGTGGACGGAGTCGCGGGCAGAAGCTAGTATTATAATATAGATAATTGGAATTGTTTGTTCAATGAGCGTCTCTCGCCATCAAACGTTAAAGTTTGGCGAGTCTACATATTTAAGGCCATTCCTTTGTAGAATTTCTCTAAATAAAATTGTTTAGAAAAAAACTGCCTTCATCGAGTTTTTGAAACTACCTTCATCACCAAGGGAAAATCATACAAATAACATAAAATAAATATTTTATTTGGTATGAACTAACACATTTATTTCTCTATATTATTATAAAATATCTTTGTCTTCATAAACAAATATTAAACTCTTGTGACTATTTATAACAATAGAGAATCTGCATCTTTGTCATGAATACTTGTAACAAATAAATAAATATCTTAGAATCTACCTATTAATTTAAAACAATGTGTTTTATTTGTATAGCGCCATCCTCTAACCAAATACTTTCTAGTACATTTAAAGGCACAGACGTATCACAGCTTGATGTCTAATGTTTATAAGAACATTATTAAAATTTAATAATTATTTACAATCACATTCATTAGAGAATAACAAGAAGATAAATTACGTAAAATGCAAAATTTACAGCATCAAAAAAATCTGTGCATGCATGACACACTATCGTGACTACTAGATGGCGCTGATGAGTATAATTCCGCTATTCTCCGCTAGATAGAGTTAAAATCCCAGCCTAGCATTACGAAATCGTCGAGCGTCGTCGACGTCCTCGAGGCAGGGTACTTGAACGATGTTGAAGTAGATGTGTCCCATGAGATGTGAGGCGGAGGTGTTGGTGGTCTTGAGGCAATCGAAGAGCATGTCGTCACAAGTACAGTGAGACTTGCTGTATAGTGAGTTGTTGGTGAGGTTATAGCGGCTGGAGAAGGCGCGCACCTTCGTGGGGCAGAGGTCGTGCGTGCGGCAACAGCGGTCCAGGCGCCTGTCTGCGCCCAGGTCGTGGTAGTCTGTGGCTATGTCACCCGTGCCGCACCACTTTGTACCTGTAACAAACACAATCAGTAATTGAATAACCAGTTCATAATTTTTTTTCAGGACATGGTTATTGTGGTAACTCCTTTCTTACCTGGTATAATTCCTTGCAATAATGTGAGTGGACTGCCCCCTAACAGTCCAGCGTGTGCACCACCAGCATCTAGCCGGGCTCGAGCGGTGCCGGTTTCCCGCCAGCCTCCGCCGCTACTACCAAGGATAGGATGGTCGCTCTCGTCTAAAGCTTCTACGCCTGCAACCTGGAATAAATACACACACGTAAATCATACAATATAATGTCTAGTTTGAACCTTTTCCAATACCTAATTAAAAGATAACCTTTGTTTTGCTATTAGGCGCTAGATGGCAGTACCAGTATTTATCGTGCCAATTAATACTTCTTAACTGATGATAGTTACGTTACGTATGAATGAGATCTCAATAGGGTCAATTACTGGTTATAAACGTCTGTTATTTATTTTGCAATCTGTGAACATTGTTACTATACGCGTTCTTCATCACCTAATTCACCAAATGGTACATATATGAGAACCGTAAAAAGAGACAAGAAGAGTATGATTTTACTTTTTATTGATCTAGGTTTCTTTGCCAATCTCTAATCTATACATAGGTATGCTAAAAGAAGTGTGTATTCTGTACATTGAAAATATAAAAAAAAAATAGTAGGGGGTGCTACTAGATAGAAAAGACTCTGAACCCAAAAATGTAGGCAATTAAAAAAATGTCTGTCTGTATGTTCACGCATCACGCAAAAACTACCGGTCAGATTACGATGAAACTTGGTATGAGGATACTTTATTACCCTAGGCACAGTTACTGTACCAAACGCGTATAAGTTTGTCGAATGTTAGGTTGCCCGCCGTGGACTTTACGCTGTAACTGGAGGGCCAATGGTTGAAATTAGCTTGAACCGAAGCTTGATAAATGTGAAAATATGTAAGTTCGTGTGTTTATGTGTTTGTTGTTTGTTGAAAGGGACCGGGATGAAAGTTGGAACAGAGGTCGATTATGGGTGCTTGACTCTTAAAACCAATCTCAATGTCAATGCAATTCCAATCAAATAACATCTCAATAATTATTCAATGTCAACACTATACAACCCCTTTCGTAGCTGTTGAAATAGCATTCAGAGTACAGAATATCAAACCAAACTCAATACCATTTAGTTAATTTAATATCCACGCAATACGGATGCAATGGGCGCTAGTGCATGTTGCAACTCAAGAGTACGAATTTTACAATACCAATGTCGATCGACGGGAATTGGATTCAAGAGTAAGATCCATGGTCTGGAGTAGTACATAGGCTACATGGGAACCTGGGAATGCGGGCGAAGCAGCAGGTAGAAGCTAGTAGAGAATAAATAGGTAGATATAAACACGTTACATACTTCACTCATGTCATACGCCATATTCGCGTGCCGCGTACTCGTGATAGATACAATCACAATCAGATCTCTATCAGAATTCTAAAAATATGTAAATAGCATTTCAATTTAATTACCTGTTTCCGACATGATATTTAATATTCAATGTAAAAATAAATACTTTATTATTTTTTGTCAGTCTAATAGTTATGGGTTAAGGCCAGGTGACGGGTAGCACTGAATATGGCACATAATGAGAGATACATTATGCGGTTCAAAGAGGGCATTGCCATCTGCGGTTACGAAATACAAATGAGCTCTAGGTCGAAAATATTAGGAGACGATACCGAATGTTTGTTCATAAAATGTCTTTGCAGCATCAGTGAAAGATGAGTCGCGCGGAAGGCCGGAGCAGTAAAGCAGGAGTAAGAAGGGGTGGTTTTTAGTCAATAAGAGTTTGACACTCCCTCTCGCTTAACCCAAGGCACCTATTTTTATCTTTTTAATTTTCATCGGTATCGGTAATTTAATAATGAACCGAAAGCTGGGGAGATAGGGCTATCTGGCTGACTTCTGTTTGAAAATATGTAGGTACATAATATAGGCATCAACACGATAG